CCCCAGAGAGCAGATGCCTCTCGATCGTTACGCCAGTCCAGTATAGAATTGGAGTCCGGTGATGTGGAGCCCCGGATTGGCGGTTTATTTGATGGCTAATTTTGATAGATCAGCATGGTTGCAATCAGATTCTTGAAAATATTCAGTCTAGCTTAATGTTAGAGTTTAGACTTTAGTTTAGGATATGAAAGCGATCATTCGAGACAGCTGAATAGTAAATGTATTGGTTGTGATATGTTTCCAGCAATACTGCTCTTAAATACACCAAATCTGTCCAGACCAAATGACCTCATAGGCAGTTCAGTGAGAATACCAATTTTTGTAATCGGCATTTCCTGGTTAAGAGTGCAATTTTCGGAAAAAATAATTTTTTGGTCGAGACGCTACAAGTTAATCATTTCTTGCGGTATCGGGTTGAAATTTTGCTCGCCGTTTATTCACATCTATTTCAAGGTGTGTGTAAAATCTTGATATCGTATCTAAAAAGGCTGGTGTGTTATAAATTTTTAAAGTCAAAAAGCTAAAATTGTCCTTTTCAGGCTTATTTTAACAAAAAGTCAGTCAGGAAAGATTGGATTGATTTGATGGTTGACATCAAATTATTCTCAGAATTCTAGCGCAGTTTTTGATGCCCTCAAAAATGATTTTACTCATTTATCTTCAGATCTATTGGACCTCAAAGCCAAACAACAAATTTAGGCACATTTTTCGTTTTTGATATTTACTGATTGTTCTAAAATTTTGATAAGAATGTGCTAGTGACTTTTTAAAGGGTGCAAAATAACCGCAACTAGCACATTTATACATGAGCTATGAACAAAAAAACACCCTAAAATGCTTCCCTTTGAAGTTATGGGAGAAAATGTGATTTTTTATCTGCAAAGCCAAAAAATCACATTTTCTCCCATAACTTCAAAGGGAAGCATTTTAGGGTGTTTTGCTGTTCATAACTTGTATATAAATGTGCTAGTTGCGGTTATTTTTCACCCTTCAAAAAGTCACTAGCACATTCCTATCAAAATTTTAGAAAAATCAGTAAAATTTACTGATTTTTCTAAAATTAATATTAATTAATATTAAAAACGAAAAATGTGCCTAAATTTGTTGTTTGGCTTTGAGGTCCAATAGATCTGAAGATAAATGAGTAAAAACATTTTTAAGGGCATCAAAAACTGCGCTAGAATTCAGAGAACAATTTGATGTCAACCATCAAATCAATCCGATCTTTTCTGACCGACTTTTTTGTTAAAATAAGCCTGAAAAGGACAATTTTAGCTTTTTGACTTTAAAAATTTATAACACACCAGCCTTTTTAGATACGATATCAAGATTTTACACACACCTTGAAATAGATGTGAATAAACGGCGAGCAAAATTTCAACCCGATACCGCAAGAAATGATTAACTTGTAGCGTCTCGACCAAAAAATTATTTTTTCCGAAAATTGCACTCTTAACCAGGAAATGCTCGATTACAAAAATACGTTTTTTTCAAAATAATTTTGTTGGTGTGGAAACGGTGCGCTAGAAGGTCACTGAACTGCCTATGAGGTCATTTGGTCCAGCTGTAAACGATTGTAGCGAATTTATAAATTTTAATCGGCGAATTAGGTCAAGCGGATGATGTAATGAAATAAATTAATATCGCCGGAAATTTCAATCTAATTGATAATAATTGCAATCGTGCGCGGTGCATCAGTTTGGAAATAAAGCGGATGTGGCGATATGTGCTCATTCAAATTCCAGTACCGACGACTGCTCAATTTCTTTATTGCTTCATTTGAACAATTTTTATATTTCACGTGACTTGCTTCTTTGCTTGCGGCATTTGCAGCCAGGAAATACTAACAGTGTAATATCGACAGAATTGCCTTGTTTGTCACGATTTCATTCGGGCCCATTTTTTCAAGCACATGTTACTCGATTGATTTTATCAATTAAGTTAAGGGTTGTAGCACTAGCAATACTCAACCCGGAATGGAAATTTTTCTTCATAAAGCCACCACTCAACCTGTGCTTATAATACGGCAAATTTCTTAAACCTGTCCTCTGAAAGTCTTAACGGGTGATACTCGTAAAATATTTGTTCCATAGCGTCCAACTCGGCGCGCGTCCTGGTAGGTTGTAAACCTACAACTGGAAGTCTTAAATGTTAACTTCAGGACTGGTCTTCTCCAACAGTACAGTTAGGCTCGCGCTGTTATTATCAACCAACTGCAACAATTCTTGCATTTCATGTCTTGCGGTATTTTCACTTTTTAGCACATACTTGTAGCGTAGTTACAAGATACGGTTATATCGCTTTGATCTTCAAGACTCCATTCGGACCAATTTATCTATTTATCATAGACCTATTATTATTATTCTTGAGGCTCATTAACTATAACAGTAGTACTAGTAATAACACGGACCTCGCTCTAACGCGGATCTCGCTGTAACGCGTATTTTCTGTTTCCTCCCCCATTTCTTCCAGTATAAAGTGAATGCAATATGTGCACCAAACACCGATCACCTTTATGCTGGTATATAAACGTTGCAGAACTGCTTGTAATACAATTACAACCGGTATGTGCCTTAAAGATCAAACCTTGCTGTAACGCGGACCTAACTATAACTATAAGTATCACACAGTTTTTTGGTCTAAATTCTTTCCTTTTTCTCAACACGAAGCGCGTTGAAGCGGAGTTCCACTGTATTATTATTATTAAGTGTTGTGACACGTCATCACTCAATTAAACGGAGTCGAGATGGAGAGGGATCAGTGTTAACAGGCTGTTTATTACAGTTTTATCTTACTACCTCGTACAAGCTTACAAACGTACAAACTTAGGATTGCGTAAAAACTTCGTGTCAACGTCAGATTGCCAGTCAAATTCAATTTTGATGTATGAAATACCATCGGCACATTCCGTCAGCGATTTTCAAATGATTATAATCAGTTAAAAGTTGGTGGTGTTCTGTACAAGTTTGTGTCAATAAACACGTCTTGTTGTTTTTTTTTTGAAAAGCATGATTTTCAAAAAACGAATTCCTGTCGATATTATTGTTCGTCGTTGTTGACAAGTTATACTAGGTGGGGGTTCTGGGGGGAGGTGAGGCATGTTTGTTTGATAGGTGAGTCGTGACAGTCATGACTCTGGGGTTTGATAGGTAAATAGTGGAAGCTGATTGGTTTATAGCTGACACATGTGAAAAATATGCCTCACCTCCCCACCAGAATCCACATCTATACAGTATATAAGTACACTTATACACTGTTGAAATCCGTTTGATACCATGAACGTTGGCCAAAATGCATTCGTCATCGACGACAATCAATATCATATACCTCAAATGATATGAATTTCTGTGAACGAGATTGAAATCTTTTGCCCATCTACTTCGGTCTTCGCGGAGTGTCGTCTTAAAGATATTGAAAAAATGCAGTTATACGTCGTTTATAATTTCAAGGTTTCCCACATGTAAGCCCGACTCTAATTAGTGACACTAGTGTATTTTCACGCTTCGCATCTCGACTGTGCCTATATTGATAGTTTACAGTTGGTATCATATCATTTGGATTTACAGACTACGTACCTTTTATCATTTCTCAAGCCAAAAGTTCAAAAAATTGCCGTAATTCTTCGCCTAGTAATAATATCTCCATAATATGTTGATGAAGTAATAATATTGAGATTATTCAAACCACAACCATGCAGCCTGCATCACGAAGGCGTGTTTCGGAGCAAGCCAGTAGCCACAATCCATGCTAATAGCAACCAAATAACAACCAAATAACAATTACGTAACCAGTGGTCTATAACCAAGGTTATTAGTATTCCTCCTTCGCCAACACCTTGATAACATTTATATTATACAGTAGGTAGGTTCATAATTTAAAACGTTTCATGAGCAATTGCCGGGGAGTTCTTACCCGTTGCTCCTTAGATTCCTTCACCAACAACACAAATTTCAAGTTTCAACTCGACTGCATCTTGTCTACCCTCCGGCCACGCCCATATTGTATGGGTTCCCTTACACAGGTAAAATACAACCACGTGAGAACAAGGAATTATCCACTATAATACTATCTCGTTTATAAATGTTGCCGTGACGTTGGAAAACTCTGATCTGTTCTATCTTGTTGATACTTTGTAACTTTTACAGCGCGGTATTGTCTTGTTGTGACTCGTGTACATTACAACGTGTTGCGACTTGCAACGAGTTGTGAACCTTGGTGGAGCTGCTGCGTGACATTCCGTAGACAGTAGAATTTATCCATTATTTTTTAATTACTGTAACTGAGTTGTATTCTCGTTTGGTCCTGAATTCAAGAGCTGGCTGCTAAATCATGGGATAAAATGTGTGTTATGTGATTGTGAAAGAATGCTAGCGTAAATAAAATCGTTTAAGTGCGTTCTTTGGCGTAAATTTCATGCAAGTTGTCAGGTATCTTCAGCACGCGACGTAATGACAAGGTTTCAGTGATTTGTAGCAAAACAAAGAAACACTCGACACACACGTGACGCTATAATGTTAGGACTTAGCACTTGCAAATTGGGATACCCTGTAACCAGCTTCAGACGGCACAAATTCCCTTGTATTCTTGACAATCGCGGTAAAATACGCTTCATTTGTGACTATTTGACACTAATCGTTTCCTTTGATTCAGACCTTTCCATTACGTTTGGTTTGGTGACGTGATACGTTGTTGAGCCGTTGACTAAGAACAGCTTTGACTAAGAGCTTCAGAGCATTAGGATGATGATAAAGCAACAAGGGGCTCCGGGCTCGCCTGTCTGTCAGTCTGTATCACTGTAACTGTTAGACTTGTATTATATTGACTGCATTATATTGACTGCAGTAGTAAAGTACTGTCTAGATGGGCTGTGTTAGTGCGGGTAGCATCAAAGTGAGACACCTCACTTTACCTCACTTCAAAGTGAGACACCTCATTTTACCTCACTTCAAAGTGAGACACCTCACTTTACCTCACTTTAAAGTGAGACACCACACTTTACCTCACTTTACACCCTCCTTCACCCACGTCAAAAGAGCCAACACAACCTCTGTGTTACACCTGCAAAAATGTGGGAGTTCACAAATACAAAGATGGGTATTGGGTATAGTGAGAGTTCAGCACTACTGTCAAGACTTATACCACGCCGAACCTCTTTATTAATTGAATAAAGCAGGGTGCCCGGAAGAGAACTCTAAATTCCTGCGACCTCGACTTGTGATATCATTCGTAAAATATGGCAAAGTGGGTTTAGTGTATCCTATATTTTGCTAAGGAAAAGTTTGGATGGCAATCCACGATGGCAACAATTTGTTAGAGATGCTGATGATTTCCACCCGCAGCTTTTTTAAATTCCTAGCCGCTGCTAATAGGAGTTCATGGCTACTTATGCTGTGCTAAAAGCTTAATACTTTTCCCTTGTCTAGTTGGTAGGCATTTAATCTCGAGCCATCTGTTTGAAAAATTCCACGATTTTATGAACCTGTAACTTAAACTAACTAATTTACTTTTTTGGTGAGTTGCCATGGTTTTATGTTGAATGTTTGTTAAAGCGCTATTCCCGCCAAGTTCCTGCAGTTTAGAGCTTGTCCTTGGCAACACAAGCGACAGTTTAAGTACCACGCAAAATAGTTAACGAATTTACCGATTGTGATTCCAAGACCAGCGCATTCCAAAATTCCCTGCTTGACGCTCACTGCTCACTGCTCACCATATTCGACAAAAATATTCGACATTTTTGTAAGTCAGCTCCGAGTCTGACTAATTATACTTCCTGGGGTCGCAACAGTCTGCGTGCAGTTTAGGCTGCCATTTTCTGTCAGTTCAGAATCAATCTCCTGGTTTGTCACTGGCACTTTGAACACGGTTTGGGAGGGAGAATTAGTTTTGATTAAACCAGATTAGTATATAATTCGTTCTGATGTGTTCCTTTAAACTTTATTAATATTATGTTATGATGTTATCCGTTAATGAAAGTTATGTCTCCACTTCTGTTCGGGATATTGTACGGAATAACATCCTTATATCTGCTTCAGAGCCGAGCCCCAAGCATTTTATCTTTCATTGGTTGGAAAAATTACTGAGCCAATAGCAAATATTTTCCGGTATTTATGCCTTGATTTAACGACAAGCTTGAAGGACCTGCTCGAAGTGTCGAAATATTCACTGGTCAAACTAAACAGATATGGACTTGCCAATACCATTTACCTACCCTATTACAACACTACTGTATAAAACACTACTGTGTGTATTAGAACACTACTGTCGAAAAAGGAATTAAACTTTTCTTAGATTGGGCGCTGACCCGAACTTCTACGAGCTTACATTCGAACGTTCAGAAATCCTGCGGTGATTACTTTGCGGACAGAAAGCTATCAGTAAGCGATTAGTTGAATGTCCGGATGTAAAAGCTCCAGACCTCGATATTTACGGGTAAGCAAGTGTGCTCCTATAGTTGTATATCATTTTTAAATTTTCATAATTTGTTGAGTCACTCATGGCTGGCGTCCAGCATCTTGTCTTGCTTATATAATAGTCGGGGCACAAGCATTCTATCCATGAGGTAAGGTCATCGTAATAATAGGGCGCGATAATGAGTTTAGAAGGAGACGGTATTCGGGTTGAGTTGATGATTGAATGAATTCTACGTGTGACGATACGAGGCTATATGGGCACCAACAGTTACAGAGTACTTGTTGTTATTATATCCAATATATCGTATTGGTGATTTGATGTGTCTAAGTTATATAGTGCTAGTAAACACACCCTTGTAGCTATATGTATATGACCCTGCGTACTGTTATTTTATACCAAATTAGAATCACAGTCAATTTACAGTTTTCACGCTGTCACATTTCTGCAATTTGCCACAATTTTTTAATTACAAAAGCGATGTTACTTTCCCAGTTAAAGACTAAATCAAGGTCCCCGCGGCTAATCTCGATCGGGGATGGGTGTGGCGGAATAGGTGCGGCTGGAATGGGGCGGCATCTTTAGACAGGGATGAAATCATTACCGTATTGAATTGAATTGAAAAGTCCCTCCTGGCAAGCCAGGAAGGTACGACCCATAATAAACACAGATGAACTTGAAGGGGCCGCAGACTCTGGGGTTCTGCTCAATCCTCTATAGAGAACTGTAAACAGAAGTTAGACTGCCTCTATGAGTCTATAATATACGTCCACGGCATGTTGAGATAGGTAGATACTTGGTGCCTACCACAAGCAATGTGATCGATTACACTAGAGCTACCCGGAAAGGCCTACTGTAGGTGTAGGCAGTTGCTCATCAGATCATGTTACCCAGATCCGAGGCATCTGTGGGTAGATGGGTGCTGGTGTGCCCAATAATTATATGGTGCTTGTAATTGGTGTGCACCGGACTTGAATTTAGCAGTGTCCTGACTCCAGACTACTTTTATGTTGTCATGGGATTTCTGATCTTTTATTGTTTTTTATGTATTTTGTTTGCTGTCTTGGTGCTTGGTCCGCTTGAAATTTGGGCATAGTTCCCGCAGCGGCTTTGTAGGCTAATATTTGATGGTTTGTTAAAAGGTTAAAGCATTGAAACGTCGAGTAAACTCCTTTCCCTAATAAGAGCATTTTTACTTGTCGCAACAACCGGGATAAAGATAATTTTACACGGAATACATTACAACAATGCGACTCATAAATAATACTCCAATCCGGATTTTACACGTTAAAGCAGTGGTGCGACTTTTTTTATTTAAGTCTTGTTGTTTATTACCACGCATCTATTATGTTATGTTTGGTGTGACATAATAGTTTTGTAATAGTGTAAATTGTTATAAAGGTATTTTGTTTGTTGGAATATTATGTCTTGTCTGGTCTGACATAATATGTTTATTTTATCTTTTTTTTTCAACCGTTGTTGTTTCTGATGTTTTGAGGGTACTGCAGTTTACTTCAGTCCACAGTTGAGAGGCAGTCCCCGTCCCTCCTTGTTCAGAACTGAGATCTGCTGCTGATCCTTGACCCCTATCATTATAGCACTGTAGATATAAATTTATGCAGATGTGTTGAGATCTCTACTTGATTTGTATGGTTCATTGGACACTATAGAGCTATAGATACCATCTTCTACTTTTGACAGACAGACAGGCAGGAGTATAAACGCAGACAGACAGGAGTGTTACATTGTAACATTGTAACATTGTAACGGTGTTACATTGTAACGACGTAACATTGTAACGGTGTTACATTGTAACGGTGTTACATTGTAACGATGTTACATTGTAACGGTGTTAAATTATAACGATGTTACATTGTAACGGTGTTACATTGTAACGACGTTACACTGTAACGATGTTACATTGTAACGGTGTTACATTGTAACGGTGTTACATTGTAACGATGTTACATTGTAACGGTGTTACATTGTAACGATGTTACATTGTAACGGTGTTACATTGTAACGGTGTTACATTGTAACGGTGTTACATTGTAACGATGATACATTGTAACGGTGTTACATTGTAACGATGTTACATTGTAACGGTGTTACATTATAACGATGTTACGCTGTGACAGTGCTACACAGCTACAGTGTAACAATGTGAAAATAGTCAGTATATCAGTGTCGTGACGTCTCACTGTTTATATAACATTCTTCGACCTACAGATTTGTTAAAGCGGCATAGTTTTCACAACGGTATCTGACTCATGATCCGATCATATCAACAATAATTGTTTCATTTTTACCGTCGGGATGTGACATTCCTCCCGTGATCAAGTTATGTTACGCCAATAATTACCATCCTTATTAGATTATGCATGAAAAGCAAGGTCTTGACGGTATTTATAAGCTATAAACTCTTTTGTGATTATAAGAACGAGTTTACGATCGTGGCACCCAATTTTTCCGGTGTATCACTTTCTAAACACTAATCCCCTAAGACCGCATATCAACATTTTTTACGCTTCACTTGTCCGGGAAAATGGAGAGAATCCCTAGCTGTTAGTGTGTTATGTCAGGTGTTTTTACCTGACTGATCGGGATACAACCAACATAACGAGTTCGCTACAACACACACCTTAGTTTTTGTCAGTACCAGCTGCAGATCTAGTTACCTTAAACTGTTTGTATCAGATATTGGATAGCCCCTAAATTTAGTGATCTATTGTGTTGTTCTTTTTTTTCTGACGAATCTTGTCTCCTGAAGTACTCAGACAATTGATAGTGTCGCGACTTTTTTGATTCACTTTTCTTGAATTACTCGGCTGTGCTATCATGGTAGACAGCCATTGTCCCGTGGCTGCCGGCATCTGCTACCTTTTAACACCATACTCGTCTATCTTCAAATTTTATCACGTGACACTTTTCAATTGTACATTCTCATGTTAAATTGACCGGAACCAGTATCGGTATGCCCCATCACATGGTATATTGGAGACGTTGAAAGCTATTTCATGTACTGTGCTGTTATCAATACCGCTTTTTACGTTTATAATTACCAATGACGTTTCTAGTAGTAAGTTTAGTAAGATTTCACTCTGTTTACAAATTCGGGTGATGCCAGAAAGGTCTAGATACGGTACAAATTCCTGCGTATTAGGATATGTGTACGTTTCTCAAGTGTTTGATACTCTGCGGTATTAATTGCAGTGTGGGTTGTCAGATTGGCAGCTGTATATTTTAGTAATTTTGTAATATCATTATAATTTTTGCATGACACTGGACACTAGATAAGCTGGGTTAATTATGTTTGCCATTTTACATTTTTACTGTTTGTTCTTTGTCAAAGTTTAACCTTATTTACCTGCTTTTAAAAGACGCATATCGAGTTTATCGAATCTTGAAAAAAGATAATTCCGGTATCTTTTTCAAGCGCCACTTTACCTGGAATGACATTTTTAGGGTTAGTGATCACCTCGTCTTATTGTCGTCTTATTGTCTGGGTTTGGACTCTGGTTAAGGAAATTATTGCTCGATTACCTCATGACTGACTTGAACCAGGTCCGATCTTTTAGATTGTTCGTTGTAACCGACAGCATTGACGGACATTTTATTAAGTGAATAGTACCAGTTCATGGGTATATTTCATTGCATGTGTAACAGATCTATAATTAGTTGCACGATTAGGTAATCTTCAGGATTTGGTAAGCATGTGGAGTGAGTAGTGACACTTTATCTCACTTCTCTTTCGTACATCAAATGTTGGGAACAACATTTCAACACACACCTTATCACACTTAATCACACTTAATCACACTTAATCACACTTAATCACACTTAATCACATTCATTAACATTTAATCACACTTAATCAAATTTCATCACACTTATAAATCTAAAATCACACTCAATCTGCACTACAATTCCCAAAATTTTACTTTTCATGTTGATTCTCCAAACATATCATTGATCGTTTTCCTAATTACACTCAATCACTACGATTCGCGGAATTTCACCTATCATGTTGATTTTCCAACATATCATTAATCAATAATTTTCGCTCTTCAACACATAAATCTTGTATTGTAACTATTTGGATCACACCTATTAAATTGAATCATACTCAACCCGCTTGCTTAAATACTTGACCCCCACGTCTACATTCTGCTTCGAATACTTTCAGCTTGAGAAAAAGATTGTTTCATCCCGTTTGTCTGCCTTCGATATTACCCAGGATTTTACGTTTATCCGCTTCAGATCGACTAGATACACTAAATATTTCCGCTTGATTCGAGAATTTGCAGTACTAATGTTGGCAGGAGCTCAGATTTAGTTGTTATCCGGCCAGACTAATGTTTTGTGCTTACTATTTGCTTATAGTGGACATAGGAACAGTGGTATAACTTTTATATCACCCGGCATTGTGTCTACGGGCTGATTGTAATAGATATATGTAATAGATATGTAATGGATATGTGAGCAGTAGTAAATGTACCCGTTAGATTAACTAATTGCCGATACTTAAGTTTCTCAACTCCTTGCTAACAGATGACACTCCCTTTTAGTAATATGGAGCACTGTACCACTAACTGTACCACTAACTGTACCACTAACTGTACCACTAACTGTACCACTAACTGTACCACTAACTGTACCACTAACTGTACCACTAACTGTTCCACTAACTGTACCACTCTTCCTTAGTAATATGGAGACTGTACCACTAACTGTACCACTAACTGTACCAGTAACTGTACCACTAACTGTACCACTAACTGTACCACTAACTGTACCCCTAACCGTACCACTAACTGTACCACTAACTGTACCACTAACTGTACCACTAACTATACCACTAACTATCCACTCTTCCTTAGTAATATCAAATATGGAGACTGTTCCACTAACTGTACCACTAACTGTACCACTAACCGTACCACTAACTGTACCACTAACTATACCACTCTTCCTTAGTAATATGGAGACTGTACCACTAACCGTACCACTAACTGTACCAGTAACTGTACCACTCCTTGTCAGTACTATGGACAACTGTGTCACTAACTGCAGTTCTGACCTTATCATGCAGCCTCCTCCTCTTCCTGTAGTTCTCCCTCCCTGGTTCATGATCACTGTCATGACAATCCTCTCTATCCTCGCTGTTGTGGGTTGGTATAAACGTTGATAAATTTATTCATTTTTCTAGAGTTTTACTGTCATAACGTTAACTTGATTTTCCAAACGATAAAATGATAACTTATTTTAATGAACTGTTTTCTCTGAGCCAGAAAACTATCATCTTTGCTCTAACGATACGAATTTTGCTAACTTATTTTCTCGGCAGGTAACATTTTAGCGATATTCTGTTTCTTGAGGTTCAGAAAGAAGATGAAACAGAACACTATAGCTTATCTCGTCAGTCTGGCTGTTTCAGACCTCTGGATAGGATTTGTAAGTTTTAACTTAACTACCTAATTATAGTTCAGTTAGTGAAGTTATAAAATAATTTCAAAACTTCACGTGCTGGACTTGGGTTAGCAAGCTATGTAAAATATCTACATTCGTTTTACCTTAGTAAATTATACAATATT